ACAGATGAAAAGGAAGTAGATGATAGACTGCCCACAAGATATTTATTATCTAATTACAGAGATAATATTTACATACAAAACCATTAGAGCAGTCTAAGATAGAATATAAGGGAAACTTTAGTTTGTACCTGAAGGATTGATAGTGTTGAATAAGTAGTAAGGGCATGCTACAACTGAAAATTATAGCCAACTCACCAGTAGGTCTGGTTCAAAAGAGGTGCCTTGGTATGAGTTCCTTACAATGTAAGAGAGTATCTCTGATTCCTTGTTATGTAAGAGAGAGGTGTTCTCTCCCCATCCTTTGTTTCAGAAGTGCTTATAGGAGTAACCTTTATATTAGATGGAGGATATTCTCAAAATATAATCTAAAACACACAGTGTATATGTGTACAAGTTATCTGTCGTGATGTGATTTGAGTGCTATAGGATAGAAGTTTTTCTTACTCTTCTCTCTGTCTTATGACTGTCATATTTGTCATTTGTCTCAGGCTCCTGATGGCCATGTTTTCCTAGAAGCTTTCTCTCCTGTTTACAAATATGCCCAAGACTTCCTGGTGGCTATTGCCGAGCCTGTATGTAGACCAAGCCATGTGCATGAATACAAATTGACTGCTTATTCCCTATACGCTGCTGTTAGTGTTGGATTGCAGACGAGTGACATCACTGAATACCTCAAAAAGCTCAGCAAGACTGGTGTTCCAGATGGAATCATGCAGTTTATTAAGGCAAGTGACTAGACCTTAAGCAGTCCCAGAGGCTTCTGCAGACAGTATTAGTAACATTTATATCTGCCAAGTGCTTTATAATGAATCTAGAAATTGATTGGGTTCAGATACGTCCTCTGTCATGTACTAACTTGTGACCTTGATCAAGTCATTTAGTATCAGATTCCTCATCTGTAAAATAAGAAGGTTGGACTGGATGACCTAGAAGGTCCCTTCCAAGTTTAATATACCATCTTCTCATCCTAGTTATTAATTTAAAACTGTCCACACAATTTTGTACTTTGGATTCTAATGCTATAATATTTAAGAATCAACCAACTTTTGAAAAGTACTCTGCTCTTAAAATTAAATTATTGATACTTTTCTTTTTATATCACAGTCATTTCTGTTTATAGCCAGATCTGCCCTAGCCCTGCCCTGAAATTTAACCTTTCCTTTTAAAGAAGAACAGAAACAAGTGACATACTGGCTGTGTCTGGCAAAGTATACACTGTACTGCCCTTGTACTCCCTTGCTTCTCTCTTGAAAAGAAAGTGATAATTGTGTCATTATTTGTTCTCCTGAATGATTATGTGATCCTTATTCTTTTGCATGTGGAGGAGAAGTGATCATGGGACTGCTTTCACATGGGGTGACTGAAGAGATAGGTTTACTTACTTTTGTGTAGAACGCACCCAGATGTGGGTGGGCAGTGGCAGGTGATGATGACAGGCTTAAGTGCCACCAGTGGTGTGTGTACTCTTGGGTATAGTCCTAGTGATATAGTCCTTTATTGGTCATTTCTTCCACTTTTCTTTTTTGAAACAAAACTTTTAGCCTTTCTCCCTTTCTTTTCCCCTAAAATAGAGTACTGCTTCATTAATAATTTCATAATTGAACACTCACTAGCAGTGTGACTCTGGGCAAGTCACTTAATCCCAATTGGTTCACCAAAAAAAAACAACTTCATAATTACTATTTCTCAAACTGCTGTTGACTGTTGACTATATTTAGATTTGAGACTGTCAAAAATTATTTGCACTGTGTAATGTAACTCTTTCTAGGGTACTTCATTATTACTATTCACTGTAATTGATAGTGAGTTGATGATTTTGAGAAACCAGGCTTAGGTGTTTCATGAGGTAAAGGTCAGATTTCAAAGGATCGTATAACCTTTTTCTAGGCTGTTGTTTAACCGGCTTCCTCACCTCCAATGTCTCACTCTTCTAATCCATTCTATATTTCACCACTTCTAGATTCTAATATACAAATTTGATTGATTCCTCCCTTGCTCAGAAATCTTTAGTAACTCACTGTTGTCTGCCTAACAAAGACTAGACTCTTTATTTTAGCATTCAGAATCCTCAATCTGGTAACAACCTATGTTTCTAGCTTTTGCTCACATGATCCTTCTTTATATACACTTTGTCCCCCAATCAAGCGAGCATGTGTCTTGCTTTCTTACCTTCATGAATTTGTTCACATTGTATGCTACATATGCTCAGAAATTGATTCTCTAGCCTCCACCTGTATCCTACCTGTCGATAAAGGCTTAGTTAATATGCCATCTTTTCATTGAAGCCTTCCCTCATCACCTCAGTCAGAATCTCTCTTTTCTCAGAACTCTCCTAGTACTTCAGCTGTTGTTCCTTTCCTGAAGGGGGCTGTCTCTTGGAGAGGACAAATGAGGCAGGAAGACCTGTTGTAGAATGAAATGAGAAGCTTAGACAGCATTAGTAGCAAGATGGAAAAGCACTGGCAGATCTAAAAGAGCTATTTTGAAGGAAAGGCAGAACTTTATAGTAAATTGGATAAATATTTTAGTTGGGATAGGCATTGTGTTACCTGGAAGGTCAACATAGAACCTATGCTATGTGAATGCATCAGCTAACCTTGTTAGAATCTTATGTCACTTTAAGAGGCGAGGACCCCAGGATAAGGAAACTTTGGACATAAGGAAAGGTCTGGATCTAAGGTATTGCCTTAAAATCGGTGACTAAGCTTAGTGTACTAGATACCCTTGAAGTTGGGGGTGGGGGACTGAAAGGGGTAAGGAGTTATTGGGCCAACTCCCCAGATTTGCTGTAGGCCAAATTATGAATCTTTGATTATCAAGGTGATGCTTTGAGCACTTAATAAATAATTATTCCTAAGTTTTGTCGTAGATGCATTTGTCATTATTACTTAATGTGTTGTTTCTTAACCTAGCCATAGCTAAACACCTAAGATAAGTCAAATGAGTAAAGCAAAGCTAAAAATGTAAATCCCAGCATTATGTTGTCAGGGACCCAGTATTACCTGTTTGAGCTACTGCTTTGGTTATGGGAACCCCACATTTCAAGGGTGTTCTTGAAAGTGACAAGGTCAAGTTGCATTCTTTTGTGAATACTAGCATACTGTAGTACAGCACTGCTATGCCAGCTGCTTGTGAAGCCCCAAGAAAAGGCCAGTTCCAGCCCACAGCTTCCACTGTCTGTAGAAAACAGATACACACATTTTCCCAGCAAACAGATTTAGAAAAGGTTAAGTGGCTAATGCTTCCATACATCCTAAGGGAGTGCCTCCCTATTCTCTTTATTTCTCATATTCCAGATTATTCAAAACCTTGCATGTCATGGTAGAATAATGGTGACTAGTAAGATCATCAGTAGTACTTTGCACTCAAGTCCTTTGTTAAATAACCTGTTCCTATTCCTTACCCGTAGGTGAAATTGTCTACGGGTTGCTCCTGGACTATCAAGTTCTGCTGTCCAGTTATCTCCACAGTTGCATAAACCTTTCTTTATCCCTAATTGTGAGACTGTTGACTTAGATGCTCTACTAGTTTCTTCTTATTGTTGATGCTCCCTGCCTTAAGCTAATGTAGTTCAATAATACTGGCAAAGGTCCATGATCCTTTTGCTTCCAGGTTAAAAAAAAAAGTACCATGTAGTCTTGAGTATTTTTTTAAATTATGTGCAAGTTCATTTCATATCCTAAATAGTTTTTCTGAAATTTAATTGGTCATAAGAAAGTTGGAATTTGGACAGACTTCAGGAGACATTGGAGGATAGAGGGCCTGGTGTGTCATGGTCTGTGGGGTCACAATTCAGATACAACTGAACAACAACAAAAAGAAATTCAGAAACATAATATTCCTAGAAACTTAATTCTCTTCCATGTGGAGTCTAGCCTGCCTTGACCCCCTTTGAATCATAAATTATTTTTCCTTGAAGCATAATAAAGTTTTGGAATTAACATGGTTGAACTTTCATCTTTCACTGAATGAATAACTCACTGGCTTTACATACAAATTAGGATGCTCCATAGGAACTTGGAGGAGCTCTCCAAGGACCTCTTAGAATCAGACTATGTGACAATATTTCATCTCTAGAAGGTCTGATCCTTGAACTCTTTTTTTTTTTTTAAGTGAGGCAATTGGGATTAAGTGACTTGCCCGGAGTCACCCAGCTAGTAAGTGTCAAGTGTTTGGTCTGAGGCCAGATTTGAACTCAGGTCCTCCTGACTTCAGGGCCAGTGCTCTATCCACTGAGCCACCTAGGTGCCCCTTTGAACTCTTGAAGGTGGAATTAGCTAACAAGCAAATCTCAAGGATGAGAAAGTCCACTTTAAGTATATCTCTTCTTAGGCTATATGTGAGCAAATCTCTGTGATTTCCCACCTGTAGGAACTGTGGTTCATTTTTTTAATACAATGTTCAGCTGGTGGCATGGGACATGGGAACATCAAGACTCAAAAAATTGAATATTAATTTTATCTGTTGAGCAGTGGAGAGGTACTGGTTGGTATGAGTGTACTGGAACACATTTACAGACAAGCGGTTACAAGGGAGAAGCAGGATTAAGGCTATCTTCAAAGAAATGTATGAGTTTAAAAGAATAGGGTTGGTCATGTGGTAAGAACAAGGGAGAACCAATTGATAGCCCGTATACTCCAGTGGTTTCCATACTCAGTCAAGAAAAATTGAGGGGAGTACAAATGATGAAGAATTCTACCCACTTTCTGATAGAGGTAGATAATGATAGATGGACTAATATGCATAGTAGACTTTTTGGACAGTCCAAAAGTTTGTTTGCTTGACTGTGCATATTTGTTACAAGGGTTTTGTTTTTCTTTCTTTCCACTTTCCCCCCCCCATCACCATGGGGAGGTCAAAGGGAGAAAAAAAATGTTTGATAATTGGGGGGAAAATTATTTTTTAAAAAAGAGAAATTGAGGATAACCTACAGTACATTGGTTAACCCCATGTATCAAATTGGTAGGAGGACATAGAAAAGAGTTAAACAGGACATGTATGGGTGAATTGCAGTCTGCATCTTTGGAGGAGGAAACAACCACATTAATAAGATTGCACAGATCAGTGGAATTATTGCAGAAAAATTGGAAGCAAGATAAGTACCTATTTGGCGGGGGGAAGGAATAGCTGAATAAATTGTGGTATATGAATGTAATGAAATACTGTCAATACAAAAAAAGCAAAAAATATGAGAATTTATAGTAATATAGGAGAAATGCATATCAGCTAATGTAGAGTGAAATAGCCAAAAGTACAGCATACACAATGACTACTTTATGATAAGTGTAAATAACACTAGAAGTTGGCTTTAATGGCAGTAACCAAGTTTGATCCCAAAGAACAGATGATGAAACACAATTCCCTTTCAGTAGTGAAGTACACAGCTACAATCAGATGTCATTTTTTTGGTTGAAGCATTTGAAAAGAGAATTAACAAGCCATTAACAACTGTAAGAAAGAATGCCTCAGATCACTAGTAAGACAATGCACACCAAAACAACCTTGAGGTGAAATCTTACACCTTGTAAATTGGCAAAGATGAAAGAAGATGAGAAAGTCAAAATTAGAGGCATTGTGAGAAGATAGGCACACTAGTGTGTGGTTGGTGGAGCTCTGAATCAGTACAACCGTTTTGGAAAACAATTTGGAATTATGCAAATAAATTGACTAAAACAATTTCCCAATAAATGACTGTAAAATTGAACTCTCTCGTAACAAAGACAGTTCAGGAAAAATAACTGACAAAAAGAATTACAACTTTTTTAAAAATAAGTTTTTATTGGTCTTTTTTTATGTCACTAAAATTTTCCCCTTTCATTCCAAGTGTGCTATCCCATGACAACTAGTATTTTTTAAAGACAAAAAAGAAAAAAATCAGCATAACTGATCAACATTTTGAAAAAGTCGGAAAATATGTGTAATGTACATTTGTGGACCCTCTCCCCCCACCTTTGTAAAGGTAAAAGTGTTTTCTCACGTCTCTTCTTTTGATTCATGTTTGTTCTTTGTAATTTTGCATATTCACTTTTGATTTTTTTCTGTGATTATTCCATTTGCACTGTTATAGTCATTGTGTATATCATTTTCTTGATTCTGCTTTCTTCAGTTTTCATTAGCTGTTTTTATGCTTCTCTGTGTTATCCTATTTGTCATTTCTTAAAGCACAGAAATATTCCGTTATGTTCACATACCATCGTTTACTTAGTCTTTCTCCAAATGATGGGCATCTACTTTGTTTCCAATTCTTTGCTGTCACAAAAAGTGCTGCTATAAATGCTTTGGTGTGTATGAAGATTTTCCTAACATCACTATAGTTTCCTTGGGGTATAAGCCTAAGTAGTGGAATCTTGTATCAAAAGGTGTGGACATTTTAGTCACTTTATTCACATGTTCCAAATTGTTTTCCAGTGTTCCATTGTTCTGGACAATGGATTGGCAGAATTGATGTATCCCATGCCTGGATATGTTAATATTTTCCTGATTCTGAACCACTTGTTCCTAATTTGTCTTTGGTTTTGTTGTTAATTATAGTTGTGTACTGTCAGCTATGGAAAAGTCAAGCTAGTGCTGAAACACAACAGGTAAGAAATCAGGGGCCCAGGGGGGGAGAGAGGGAAATGAAATCTATTGATAAACCAGTGCCCAAGGCTTTTGCATTCACTTTGCCCTCTACCTAATCAGAGGGAGTAATGGGGAATGTTTCTGAAGTTCTTGGCAAGAAGAGCCCCAGCTCTTTGGTTTTCTTAAGGGGTCATTTATTTTGCCATCATTTCTAGAGATGGTTAGCTAAGTGGAATGGTTTTTATGGTGACAAGAAAGTGGAATTAAAGTGTGTGCCCATTGCCTGGGGAGCAGTCAGACGTCATGTGAGCCAAGAGTTCAGTGACCAAAATTTTTTGTAGCATAGAATGTTAAAAATGGAAAGGTCAGAGATCAGCTAAATCAATATCTCTCTGTTCTTTTACTCCTTCTTTCCCTACTGTAGGTATTTTGTTGAAAGCTCTCACCCAGATGTCATTAAAGAACTTCTCCAGGACCAGGTGATTCGAGAATGCCGCCTGAGGAATGCTGAGGGAGAAGAAACTGAGCTCATCACTGAGACCTTCACAAGCAAATCTGCTGTATGTTGGGTTCCTGGAATGTGAAAATGTTTTTCTTAATTCTGTATCCCTTAGTTCTTCTCACCTGTACTGCAGCTCTTAATTCTGCCTTTTCTTTGTAGATTTCCAAAACCAGCGAAGGAGGCAGTGGACCCTCCACATCACAAGGAACAGATAGTCAAAATAAAACAGATGTCCCTGCAGACTTGTTTGAGTTTTATGAGCAAATGGACAAGGATGAGGAGGAAGAGGAAGAAACACAGACTGTATCTTTTGAAGTCAAACAGGTTAGCAAATACACTTTCCACAATGGTTTATTCACCAGGTGAGCTGCTGAAAGCTATAAATTTGGTTTCATCTTAAATCTTCCTTTCTCACTCCTTCCGTCTTCTCACTTTCCCAGATTCTAGGCTCCCTCCTGATGACATAGCCTTCCTAGCCTCCCTTCCGCACCTTATACCCCCCCAATTTTTTTCATTCTTTCTTTTTTCCTTCCTTCCTTCCTTTCTTTTTCTGTCTCTCTCTTTCTGAGTGTTTTTTTTTTTAATTTTGAGTTCCAAATTTTCTCCCTTCCACCCCTACCCCACCCATTTAGGAGGCAAACAGTGATATCAATTATACATGTGAAGTCATACAAAACATAAATCCATGTTAGCCAGGTTGCCCAAAAAAAAAACCATAAAGCAAAAAATATAAAGAAAGTGAAAAAAGTATGCTGCAGTCTCAACTTAGAATTCATCAATTCTTTCTCTGAAAGTGGATAATATTTTTCATCATGAGTCCTTTGGAATTTTCTTGAATGGCTGTATTCATTGGAGTAGCTCCTGACCTCCCTTTCTTGCAGTGGATGCACCTTTATTCATTCTCCCTCTGGCTTACTGGTCAAGATGGGGAAATTTTTCCTGATGAATTGTTAGGCTCATCTCTTTTGAGGGGCCTTGGAGCTCATTGAAGAATCCCTGTAGTATCCTGGGATTTAATTCAGTCAGTACATTGGAGAGCTGGAAGAGCCTTCCCTCTGTTATTTGGCCTCTGCCAGGCTATCCTCCATGACAGTGTTGAGCCCTTTTGATAAACCTATTTCTCCCTGTTTTATGTTCTCCTTGGTATTTATAATCAGAAGATCATTTAACAAAATTCTCTCTGGTTGTTATCGTTCAAGGACTCTTGTGTAACATTAGTATGTCCATAGGAGACATTTTGGTGGAAGCAATACTTTAAGGCTGCATTTTGTTCTACTGAATCATACTTTTTCTTAAATCAACAAACAGTAGTTACATTGGACTGTTATATTTTTTACCTTTTCCCATCAGTTATATGACTAAATATGTGGTCTTTGGGCAATCTTGTACAAGTTTGCCTTTTCCCTTCTTGTACTTTTGTCAGTGGTATGCTAAATACTGATGCAGATCCTTCCCATAAAGATGAGAAAGTTGGCTCAGAGTCATCCAGGGAGGAAGAACAGAGCTGGGACTCAACCCCAGTTCTTATTCCAAATCCATTGCTGTTTCTACTTCAACACAGTTTTCAGTGATTTAAAGGCCATGATTCAAAGCCCTTCAGCTTTCAGGCTAAACAGTCTCAGTACCTTTAGCTTTTCGTGTTGGTTTAACCCTTTAATCATCTTTACTCTTGACCTCTGTCCAAGTCTACCTTATTCTGACTAAAAAGCAAAGCATTGTATAAAGGATCTGACAGGTACCACATTCAGTGGGAGATTGATGTCATAGTTTCAGTACACTAGTGTCTCAGTCACACAGTCAGAGTGACAAAGTTTAGTTTTTGGTTTTTGGTTTTTTGAAGGAAGGGAAAGGAGATGGTACGAAGAGAAGTAATTAAGAGAAGCACAGTGCTACTTCTCATGGCTCATGGCAGTTATTTCCCATGCTGTATTGAAGTAGTTTATTTTCCTTCCCTGAGTGCATTTTTCTACGCTTGGCTGGATTACTGACTGTGCTAATTGGCCATAGCATCAACCTCCCTGACCCTCCCAAGGCTATTGCCACTCCCCAACGGTTTTATCCATAAACCTAATAAGTATTCTTCTACTCCACCTCTGATCCATCTGCGTAAGGCTGGAGGCTGCAAAAGAGCTATGAGTAAATATCCATGCTTTATTTTTGTCTTTCTTTTCCCAATCCCTAGCATAGTAACTGGTTTATAATAGGTGATTAACAAATGCTCACTGATTAATTATCTTTTAGATTCTGAATCCTATGTCTAACCTACTCTCTGGGGCATACAGAGTATAAGACACAGCCTCTGCCTTCAAAGGGGCTAAGTGATAGAGTGCCAGACCTGGAGTCAAGGAGACTCCTCTTCCTGAGTTCAAATATGGCCTCAGACACTAGCTAGCTGTGTGACACTAGGCAAGTCACTTAACCCTTTTTTCCTCAGTTTTCTTATAAGTGAAATGAACTGGAGAATGAAATGGCAAACCACTCCAGCATCTTTGCCAAGAAAACCTCAAAATGGGGTCACAAAGAGTCAGATATAACTGAAACAGCTGAAGCACAACTGCCTTCAGGAAGCTTATAATCTAATAAAAAGGATGATACATAGGCATGTAGGTTGGTAGTTACTTATGTCATCTCAGTCTCTTTTTGAAGTATTAATATATCTCTGATTTTTCCCCCTCATTTGATAAGTATTTACCTTCAGATAGCTTAAAAATTGATCCCACAGCGATTTCAAAATCATGTTACCTCTAGCACATATTTCTTCTGTTTCTTGTGTGTGTGGTGGCTCTCGTCCATCTCTTCTACACAACTTTATTTCCTAAGAGTCATTTCCCGCTTCCTTTAATAGCACCTCAGGAACGTGGTGGCTCTGCTTCAATGATGATGAAAACAGATGGCTATAGAAACTTTGTGTAGTTATCGTCCTTCTTCCAGCTGCATCTGTGAACATGCTTGGAGTGACTGCCCAGCTGGTTCAATGTTGTTGGGTTTCATTGCCTACTGTGGCTCTGTAACTCTGTCTAGTTAAGTTCTGAAGAGACTGGCTTAAAAAGCAGTGTTCTGAATATAAGTTCTACTTAAACATTAATTCTGTCAAAATAGTCAACAAAATTTCATAAATACTTCTTTTCCAGGAAATGATTGAGGAGCTTCAGAAGCGCTGCATCCATCTGGAATATCCATTGCTGGCCGAATATGATTTTCGGAATGATTCTGTCAACCCAGACATCAATATAGACCTGAAACCCACAGCTGTCCTCAGACCCTATCAGGAGAAAAGCCTACGGAAAATGTTTGGGAATGGACGTGCCAGGTCAGGGGTCATTGTCCTCCCCTGTGGTAAGCAACCTTAGGTGTCATTGAGTCCAATCCTCTCATTTTACAGATGAGGAACTTGAAGCCCAGCACAGCCTGTTAGTAAACAAGACCCTTTCCTCTGTTTGGTGCTTCCCGCCTTTCCCTCCTCCCTTATAAATATCTCTAAAACTGATGTTTTCTAATAAGCAGTTATTTCCAATAGAGCTATCTTTGATTGGTCTCACAGCATGTTTTATCTCTTGTTTAGGTATCAGCCCTGAGATCTCAAGATCAGGAACTGCTGTTGATTTTTAAGAGCTTGTTTGTTTTTAAATGGAATAAGCCTCCACCTCATAAGAATGAGTCTGCATATTTCAGTGACAGCTATTTCAATTTCTTTATGGCATTAATTTGATCTTTTATAAGGAATGGTTTAAATTGTTCTTGTTCAAGGTCATTTTATAGCTGAAAGCAGAAAATGCATATAATTTTTTCTCTTTTTCAAATAAAAGTTTCTCTGTTGGGTACCAAGTAATGAGATTGGATGTTTTTGCAGTTTCTCTTGAGCTGCCCCTGGGTGAAGCTTTGTGGCTTTTTGTTGTAGGAGCTGGGAAATCCTTGGTGGGTGTGACAGCTGCGTGCACTGTCCGGAAAAGGTGCCTGGTGCTTGGCAACTCAGCCGTGTCTGTGGAGCAGTGGAAGGCGCAGTTCAAAATGTGGTCTACCATTGATGACAGCCAGATCTGCCGGTTCACTTCAGATGCCAAAGACAAGCCCATTGGCTGCTCCATCGCCATCAGCACCTACTCCATGCTGGGCCACACCACCAAGAGATCCTGGGAGGCTGAGCGAGTCATGGAATGGCTCAAGACTCAGGAATGGGGACTTATGATCCTAGATGAAGTACACACCATACCTGGTAAGCTAACTGGCTGTGGTTGAGACTCTAAACTGCTTTCTGGTCTTTTAGAGGAGAGGTAGGAAGAATAATAACAATACCAGCAAACTACGTGTTGCCAGGTAAACATTGTAGTTTTTGTTGGGTTTGTTGGTTTTTGGTTTGTTTTTTTTTTAATTTTTAAGTTAGGGTGCATCTCTGAATAACACTCATGCTCTCTCTATGGCTCGTTAGTATCCAGATCGCTACTGGTATTTGCTCTAAGATCTCCTATATAGCACTTTGAAAACTGAGAGCTAAGAGCATTGGGGTTCTTAAAGGTAATATTTTTAAAAGAGGCTCAGATGTTAGTGTTTATGATTATATAACAGTAACCTTTAATAGAATGGTACATTTACATCTCACTAATTCAAGCTAATGGAAGTGGGAATAAGGAATGGCAAGTTAATGGCAGGTCTATTTTAGAGAATATTAATGAAATGGTTTTATTTCTTACATATGCACACACACACCCAGTGTTTAAACTGAGCTTACAAAGTTTCACATAGTGCAGTGGTTTCCATATTTTTTTGAGCATACCAGCCTCTGTCTGTAAAACAGTTTTGAGCATGTACCCACAATATGTATGCTTATAAATTATATATGTGAACATCTGCACTAGTAATTATGTACGTTATTAATTATGCAAAAATAGAAATTTAAAGAAAGATGAGATAATATTTGCTACTAGAGTCAATACAGAGCCACTGGAATTTTTTAGTAGGGGAGTGACTTAGCCTTCTATGGGAATGAGACTTGAAGCCAGGAGACCTATCAGAAAGCTGTTACAGTAATCTAGGTGAGAAATGATGGGTCCCTGAGCTAGAGTGGTCATGTGAGTAAAGAGAAGGGGATAGATGTGGGAGCTGTTTTGGAAGGTAGCAGGGGAGGGAAGGGAAATTGCTCATCCTCTGTGATTGACTATCCCACCCAAAATAAAAAGTGGGGAAGCAGAGCTCTTGGTCACAAATTACTGACCTGGTGCATAGAGTGCATTCTGTGAGGGGTGCCAGTACCAGGTATGAGATGATCTAGGAGGCAGTCAATAAGTAAAAGGTAGTGAATTTTCCAATAGTACCTGCTAAGCTGCTTCAGTGGGTTTCCAAATAGTGGTTAGATGATAGCTAACCTGAGGTCAGAGGTTAAGACTTGGCACAATGGAGGAATAAAGCTTGGCATGGTTGTTTTGGAGGCAAATCCATACTTTATTGAGTACATAAGAATTGTTTGCCAATTACATCTAAATGAGAGTTCCTACAGTGCTTGAGAGTACTTTAGTATAATTCATCCTATTAAATATTTTAGATATTTTCCCTGTAGGTTTAGGGATTTTTTTTGTCTATTATTTCATCTGTAAAAAACACTCCCAGCAAGAAAGTTGGAGAAGAATGCACATAAGTCCTTTTTCTGTGACTTAAAATTCCCCAGGGCAGTGAGTGGTTAAGTGACTTTTTGCAGGTCACGGGGAGAGAGAGAGAGAGAGAGACAGAGTGTGTGTGTGTGTGTGTGTGTGTGTGTGTGTGTGTGTGTGTGTGTGTACACCCATATGTTCTAAGATATTTATAGCAGCTCTCTTTGTGGTAGCAAAGAACTGAAAATTGCAGAAATGCCCATTAATTGGGGAATGGCAGAACAAATTTTGGTATATGATTATGATGGAATACTGTTGTGCTATAAGAAATGATGAGATCTTAGAAAAACATGGAAAGACTTGTATAAAATAATGAAGAGCGAAATGAGTAGAACATTGTATACAATAACAGCAATATTGTTGTAAGAATGACATTGAATGAATAAGTCATTTTGACTATTATAAATACCCAAATTAAATATAACGGACATATGAAGAAAGAGGCTATCTGCATCCACAGAAAGAACTGATAAATAGAAGTATAGAATATGTATAGAATAATTTTAGAACATATACCTGTTTAATGGTAGCCATGTGGGGGAGCAGGGGAGAGGAAAAAAAAGAAATTTACATGATAACTTTATTATGTTTTTAAGAGAATAGCAAGTTGTACATAGTAGATTTGCAGTTTCGTATGCACTCATCTTTTTTATTATTATGGAAATGCTTATTTTATTTCATAAATTAAAAACAAAATTTTTTAGAAAGTGGTATATGTCAGGGACAAGACTTAAACAGAGTTCTTCTTGAGGCTAAGATCAGTCCCTCTGTCCACTAACATGCTGCCTCCTGTTGTTTTAATTACTGTTGTTAACTTGAATTGTCATTTAAGAAAGAATTGACACAGAAGTAAGCTTTAGTTTTCCTTTACGAGCATTATCACAGAACATGAATTAGTGGAGTCTAATTTGTTAAATTTTGACTGTATAATAACATCTCACTTATCCAGTATCATTAGAAAGGAGGTGTTTGACAGACTTGACTTTGTATATAACTGAAGTACATTTAAGCATCAGAACTTTTTTATATTAAATACTTTTTCTCACAAAATTTTCCAAAATATATTAATCCCTTAGGGAAGTGAAATCTTTTAAAAGAGCATACCAAACATAATTTAGGTTTTTCTTCATAGTCTAGGACAGTGGTCTCTAAAGTTGGGTATAGGAGCAGCTAGGTGGTGCAGTGGATAGAGCACCGGCCCTGGAGTCAGGAGGACCTGAGTTCAAATCTGGCCTCAGACACATAACATTCACTAGCTGTGTGACCCTGGGCAAGTCACTTAACCCCGATTGCCTTGCCAAAAAAAGCCCAAAAAAATAAAAAAATTAAGTTGGGTATAAACTAGAGAATTTATTGGAGTGTGGAAGGAAAATAGTAGAACTTCTATCTATATTTATTTTTAATCTAGAAAAAATAAAATTGGTCTTTACATACGTATGTGTGTGCATGTGCATGCGTGTATGTATCCTAACTGAATCTAAATTTCAGACATGTCACATAAGATATATAAGGTAGTCTGAGGAGGAATTGAAGTTCCATAACATGAAGGTATTGACAGTGGCACCCTTGCTTGTTCATTCTCTTTTGTTACATAGTGACATAATTCAGTTTGTCCCTGGTTAAATGGATTTATAAATTATATTACCTAGTTTTAACTAAATTAACCCTCACAAAATGGATAAGTGGCTTTAAAAGATTCCAACAAAAGAATACCACTTTATCTTTTGGCCTAAAGTGGACCAGAGTTGTAAAATGAGATGTGCGTATTCACACACGTCCAGTGTTCTGAAATTGTTGTGCCTGACTATGCTTATTTATTACAGTGTAGGGTTTCTATTTGGGGTGGGTAATTTAGAGATCAGTTAATGGGTAGAGGTAGAAATGGGAAGGAAGAAAGCAAAAAAATACTTTTGGGAGAAAACAAAATTCAAAAAGGAAAATAAATTACAATTTTGTTACTATTTTAAACATCTTAAAATATAATATATACTTTAAGAAGAAAATTGTACCAGGAATTCATATTTAATATGTAATCTTTTTTTGTTCTTCATATATCAAAATGTTAATATTTATTGAGTTATTAATAAAAATTCATTAGTTAAAAACAATGAAAGTAAACTTCATATTGGAATAATTCTAAAATGCAAACACAAATGAACAAGAAAGTGGCAGAGCCAGCTCTTCTACTCTTTGTCATTCAGTTACCAAGCGTTTATGATACAACCATATGCCAAGGCTCTGCACTAAGTTCTAGGAATACAAAGAAAAGCAAAAACTGTTCTCCTGCGCTCAAGGAGCCTACATTCTAACAGGGAGACAACATGCAAACAAGCTCCTCATCAACCGCATTCTGAAATAAGAAACAACGATCCAATCAGATCTGACAGGTTAGCCCCCCAAAAATGAAAAAGTATCAAGAAGATTATTTAAATACTGACTTAACATTGCTTGTTAACAGTGAACCCTGCCATAAGCATATATCATGCCTTGAAATATCAGCTGTTAATAGTATGAAACCATCATTAGTAAGACACTTGGAAACTAAGCTTTTATCCCCCGAAAACATGTATATATCATAATAATTTATTTATTGCATACTTTAAAAACTGAATTAAATTTTCTGATATTTTAAAACATCTTCCAGAAAGAGTCCCAATAAATTGTGTCTAATGGAGCTATATACATTTGAAAGTGGAATCTTGCTTTCCCAAATAATTCTATTTCATGGAATATATAAAAAAAAACTAATTTTGAAGAAGGGAGCTTCCCAATATTCCTTGTCCACTCTGGGCCTCTGCCATCTTGTCCTACCATTCAGACTCTTCAGGGTAGGATAGTGAAGGTATGGAGTTCCTTTTTCACTAGGGCCCCATTTTCTGAGGCTCAGGGAGGAGGAAGGACCATTTCTCCATCATTCTGGTTCCACCTCCCTAGTCATTCAACTTTTGTGAAAGTTAAGCTTTTTATTAAAAGGTTTCATGTTCCAAGTTACAGTGTTCTTCAGAAACCTATTTTCCTATGTAATTTGAGGTTCAGCTGTAGTACAGATGTTGTAGACTGTATTTGGAGTTTTCATTTAAGTTCTCAATTACCTATAATTTCAATATTTTATCTTGGGTATTGGGCCTGTACTTGTTTGCATGACTTTAAAACTATCTCTATTTTCTTCCATTCCTCATTGATCTTTCCTCCATACCGACCTAATCATTTCTATCATGCAGCTCCAACTCAGAGATTAACACCATCTAGTCTATCATGATATTGTTCTGACAAATAGAACCCATATGTTGTGTTTTCTGTATTTTAAAATGAAAAGTCCTGATAAGATTCTAGTCATTTATAATATCAAGCTTGGTGTGGCTTTCCTATTGACCTTTCATATTGTTGAAAATATGAATAATGTAATTATTTCCCCAGCCAAAATGTTTCGACGAGTTCTCACCATTGTGCAGGCTCACTGCAAGTTGGGTTTGACTGCTACCCTTGTCCGAGAAGATGACAAAATTGTGGACTTGAATTTCTTGATTGGACCCAAACTATATGAAGCCAATTGGATGGAACTTCAGAATAATGGCTATATTGCCAAAGTCCAGTGCGCTGAGGTGATAACTGTTTCTTGTTGTCAGAGTTATGGGGAGGGGGTACAAAGGAAGAGGTTTAGTAGGGTTGTTAAGGTTAATGTGTGTGGTATTTGTAATGTGATACATCGGGCTGCTGTTCTTTGGAGTAGGTCATTGTTTTCAGAGCAGGAAAGGGGAATCAAATCAGAATGCGGTTTTGGCAGTTTTGTCTAAGGCCTAGAGCAGAGCCACATATATGGGGGTAGAGAAGCCTTATGTAGTTTCACATGCCTGAGGCACGGTTGCCATTCAGTATCTTGCCTTTCTATATTACCTATATCTTGCTATATTAATTGCCTGGAGGATCTTATTTCTGAGTACATTGATAACATTCAAAACCTGTAAAAGCTTTATTCATATAGATAAAACTTTACTTTAAAATTAACTCTTTTCACTCAAAACAAATAATTTGAACTGGTCTGACTTAATATTTTTAAATCCTATGTGGTTTCTTGTAATGTCCCAAAATCAGATTGGTAGGCTTTTGCGAGTATCCAAAAAGTTGCATAAAAATCATTGGACCAGCGAGTAAATGTTTTGACCACCAGATGGCACTAACCAATCTAGTTGAAAATTTTTTTGTACATTCTATATTGTGATCACATTTTTTGCTTTCTAGTAGAAATAGTTCTTTCGTCATTTGATTGACCACTCACAGTAAGGTGGTTTTAAAAAGCTGGAACATTTTAAGTTATCAGAAGACTTTGCCAAGATCGTGTACCAAATAGTGTATCTTCTGGGTATTTGACTTTTAGAAGGCCTTTGAAAACATTTTAGATCAAAAGCTATTTAGAAACAACAAAGCATAAGATTGTATGGAGCATTTTTTCATAAATAGAGAATGCCTTTAAAACCAGGAATCAGCAAGTAAAGATTAATAGATAGTTCTCCAAGGATCATTTTATAATCTGGAAGAGTAAGGGCCCATTGTTCTGGGCAAATTCTTCTTTTGTAACTCATTAACCCAAAATGCATTAGAGGTTAGATATATGAATAAATTTTTAAAAGATTTTTCATAGATTCATGGTTGATGGTCTTAAGGTATCAAAAGAAATTAGAACTGTTTTGAAGCTTACATTGACCTCCCACAGATTGACCCTAAATGCCCCCATTGGACGTAGAACATAGACTGAATAGATTATTGATACTTCTGTGTGAAGTGTTTTGTGTTATTAAAACCCTGTCATCCATTGGCAATTTCCCATTGTTTAGAACTATTGTGCACATTTTCCTGTTTTCTCGTCAAAGCAGGTTGCTGCTTGTGTAGTTTAATATCTCTGTTTTTATTACAAGTTATAAAAGTTTTAATACACAAGTATTTAAATATACAAACAAGAATGCCAAAAAAAGATTATAAGCTTTGACTACTTATATATGTATTAAGGTAGTAACAGAGTCATCCTGTTTACTCCCATGTTATCTTTTTTTTTTTTACGTAGTCATAGTGTATATGTTCTCTTGGTTCTCTATCACTTCATAGAAGTCTTCTCACATTTTAATTGATCATTCCCCCAGATGTTGTAGGCAAAGAATATGAGTATCTTTGTAGCTTTTATGGTATAATTCTGTTTTCCTTTGTAGAAAGATTATACCAGTTCACAGTCTTTATCGGCTTTGCATTAGTGTGACTGATCTGTCTACCCCCACGAGCATTTTTCTGATTTTGAGCTATCTTTGACTGTTTAATGGGTGTACGATAGTGTGTCTCAGAGTTTTTAAGGGTAGGTTGGCATGGTGGATAGATCCCTGGACTTGGAGTCAGAAGGACCTGGGTTCACATCCCATCACAGACACTTGTTAACTGTGTAACTAGTGTATCATTTCCTAATGGAGACATTTTTCCTTTGAGACTATAGATCTAGAATTGGAAGATACCTTAAGCGGGCATTTAGTCCAACCCCCTCCTTTTAAAGGTGAGATAATTTTGATTCAGAAAGGCTAAACAGCTACCTATGCAGGAATTAAGGAGTGGATAAATAAATTAAAACTAGATCTCATCACCAAATTCTTTGTTCTTACTCCTACCCTGCTGTCTCCCAAGGTCTGTTGCAAATGATGAATATGAGAAAGTGCTGACTGGTTGAAGAGAGCATCAAATGTTTTGTTGGTGACCATATGGAAATTTTGGAGCTTAGAATACTAAGTATGCTAATGACAGGATATTGAGAGATTATAGCTATCTTTCTGTTTCACTTTAGGTTTGGTGCCCAATGTCTCCTGAATTTTATAGGGAATATGTGGCAATCAAAACCAAGAAACGGATATTACTGTATACCATGAACCCCAACAAATTCAGAGCCTGCCAATTTCTGATCAAATTCCACGAACGAAGAAATGACAAGATCATCGTTTTTGCAGACAACGTCTTTGCCCTAAAGGAATATGCTATCCGGCTGAACAAGTAAGTTTGGAAAATGTGATCAAGAGCTTCCTTCACCTCAGGGGGAACTTTTGCACTACTGGGCATGAATATATATGTATGAATATGACCACAGTGTTTCAAATAGTCTTTCATAATGCTTCAAGTGTCCCTTTATATTGTATAGAGGCTAAAGTATTAGATAACCGTAATACATAGTTTTTGAGGAAATGGTAAGAGAAATTTACTTTGAATGAAAAAGGACTGGTGAGTGTTTGTTGATTCTTAGAACAAGGTAGGGTTCTACACGTTCCAGTGATTGCAGTAGAATGCTGAGTGTTTTGAGGACTTACCCTAGATGTAACAAAAACAAACTTAGTAACAGGGGGAATAGGAAGTATTAGCACCAAACTTCCTTTGTCTCCTGTGCCTATCCCTCAAAGCCAAAATATGATCTAAGAAATAGTGCTCGGTTTGGTGTATTAGTATCTGGATTCATGCAGGCATGAGATTTCTTAGATGAAGCTAAAATTAGATCAGCTTATTTCAAGACTTTTCAACCAGGGTTTTGGGTTTTTTTCCCCCTTTTTGGTGAGGCAATTGGGATTAAGTGACTTGCCCAGGGTCACACAGCTAGTAAGTGTCAAGTGTCTGAGGCTAGATTTGAACTCAGGTCCTCCAGACTGCAAGGCTGGAGTTTTATCCACTGTGCCACCTAGCTGTCCCACAAGACTTTTATTTATGTAGGATCTTAGTACAGAGATGGTGCTTCTGACCTCATGATCTGATCCTAATCAGACTTTCTACACTGTTGAATAGTAGCAAGTTACATGGCAAATGAAATAATTATAACCAGGCCTCATCCGGAAGACTCTTGTCTAACATCCTAAACTACCTAGACAGAGTATGGTCAGTGATTAGGGACAAAAAAAAAAGATCTTGAGCAGTCAAACAAATGTCCCAAAGTGAGGACAACTAGAATTCACGCACTGGACTTGAGCTCCTCAGACCTTCAGAGCCTGCTTGGCCTTAATTTAGACTCGTTTCTAAGAAGCCAGCAAAATTGTTCAGTAAAGCTAGGCATTTTTGTTTAGATGTATTGTGGGGAAAGGCATTGTTGCTAATTTACAAATGCTTTTTCTCTGTTCATGGAATTCATCACCTCTTTTGAAATTACTAATGTGTTATGGTAGAAAGTTATTGTCATTATTGTACCTCTGTTCTTTCTTTTTGCCCTGCCTCCAACCAAGAACATCCTTTCCATAACTCCCCGCTCGCTTCCGAACATCCATCAGACCTCTCTAGGTGACTAAATTAAGAGTATCTTTCACCTTTGTTATTCTTTTAATTTATCAGGATTGAGATTTAACAGTGCTTTTGGAATATTGTTTGCATGACTAGTATTTTGGGAGGAGGTGGAGGTATGAATGAATTGATTCTGAATATAGAATACAAAGGAAGGAAATAGATGGGATCTTTGTTGAATAAAAGAGGACTGCCAGGTGCCTTCGTAGAAAGGAGTTTGTCTTTTCTTTCTTTTTTTTTTAAGGCAGTTGGGGTTAAGTGACTTGCCCAGGGTCACACAGCTAGTAAGTGTAGAAAATTTTCTTAAGTTTATGGTCTGACTTCAGCCTTCTAAAGTTTTAGAATATTGGACTTGTTGGGTAGTCTATTAAGAAATAGTATCAGTTTGTGGAACATGATTGCCCTTCTTTAGTCTTTTTCATGTGGATAAAAACCTTCTCGGATGTTTGCCATCCGGGGACCCTAGGAAATTGAGAGATTGTGCATTATGAAAATAGTTTGATTTGGCTTGTAATGAATACAGAAAAATAGAAATATGTAAAAATATCCCTAATTTGACCAGAATTTAAGCCCTTTCCCACCTGAATATACCACAGCCTTTTGGCCCAGATGGAGAGTTCCCATGGCTGCCATCAATTTTTTCAAAAGTAAAGCCTCTGGTTGGAAGTCTGTGGTTTGAGCAAATTGCTTTATTACTATATGAGAGCCTCTGTTTACTTGTCTAGAGACTATGAGTGGCCTTGTCTTGGGGAAAGAATACAGTTTTATTTACATGGTGTGGATTGCTGTCTTGATAACAAAGAAAACTTTAGAGCTCCTCTCTACTAGTAGATGGTAAGATAAGATACGGTTGCGAAGAAAAGCTCGTAAGCTTCTCAGTGTATAAAAAACAGAGGTGATTGGCTTTTCTGACCCTTGGTGTTTTTGGGTGAGTGCTGGGAAATGTCCCATAGAAGCTGATCCTTCCAGCTTTAGATCTATGATCATGTGACCCGTAGTAGTTTCTGTAGCTCACAAAATGGGTGTTTAAAAGTCATTGCCAGTCACCATTTACAGTACTATCAGTGCATACAAAGTGCCCAACAGAGCTAGTGATTGTTTGAAACCAACTGTGGAGATGTTTGGGAAAGAATGAGAACAACTTGGTGAAAATCTGAGATGCATAGAGTAGATAATTCAAGAGTACTTCGAGAAATTTTCTTGGTTTGGATTTGTTAAAATGCTTTGAAAGCCTTGCAGATGCTAATTTTATAGCCTGTCTAGTCATCACAGAATAATAAATTTTAAATATGGAAGGGGCCTCAGAGGGCATCTAGTTCAATTCACTTATTTTGTAGATGAGGAAACTGAGTCCCAGAGAGGGGAAGTGACTTGTTCAAGATCAAACTAGCAGTGAGTAATAGAACATAGAATTCAAACTCAGGTGTTCCTCTGATAGTAAGTCCAGTGTTCTTTCTCGTATACCCATACTTCCAGTGTTGGTAATAATGGCAAACAGAAATATTACTGTCACACTTACAATCCTTCCTTGGAATTGGGGCAGGGAAAAGAGCAAGGTTGAATCAGACTTCCAAACCCACATTCCACAGCCTCCCTACCAAACTCTACAGGAAGCCAGAAGATTGAGCAAACAGAAGCTTAACTCAAGATTTGTAAAACCAGATCTAGAGAGGAAAAGTGATCACTTGCAAGTCTAAGCAGCATCAACCTTAGTAAAAATTGAAACTTCTCTCCTGATTCCTAGTTTACAGAGATTGTCACCCATAGGAGATAGCTGAGGAGCATAAGGGTCTATGCTGAAATATCCTTGGGAGGGCTGTCTCAGCTGGAGGCCAGAGAAATCCAGGAGACAGAGAGAAGGGAATGTGGTTCCAGGCTGCCAGTTGGTGATAACTGGTAAGGGCGTTGGACAGGTTTGTGCCTACTTAAAGAAGAACCAGGTTGAATTCAAAAGGCAAGAAAAGAATGAAGGCATAGCTGTCCCATCTGCCAGATTCTCGTATCAAGCTAAACAGGCATGCTTCCAGCCTTTCACATGGAATGAGTTTTTTATTCACAGTGATGAGTTTTCCTCTTGATAGTCCCATTAGACCACATCAAACAAGGAAAACCATTAAGTGTTGTTAATTAATTTCCCTCCAGCAATTAGATTAAAAAACTGAATTGGCTGTGTTATCCTAATTAAGTATGGAACTCTAAAGAATGTAAGGAAACACAGTCAGATAAAAGTGAGGGAGAACTCAAGTCATTGGTAAACCTAACAAATTATAAGTCATTTGCATGGGGTTAAGTCTCTGCAGCTAGTGATTTTCATTTATCCTTCATAGTCCTCCTCTTTGGACCAGGAGATCCCTAGCTAAAAGAATCCCTAGATAGAATTTTCTCTTTCAAATTATAAGTCAAGGGGGACAGTTAGGTGGCACAGTGGATAGAGCACTGGTGCCCTGGAGTCAGGAGGACCTGGCCTCAGACACATAACACTTACTAGCTGTGTGACTCTGGGCAAGTCACTTAACCCCAATTGACCCGCCAAAAAAAAAAATTATAAGTCAAGTCAGTTAGCATTTATTAATTGTGCTAAATGCTGCAGATACAAAGAAAGGCTAAAGACAGTCCTGTTCTCAAGAAGTTCATGGTCTAATAGGGAAATGACATGCAAACAGTATCTACCCACTAAATTGAACATAGTCTCAGAGGGAAGGTGCTAAGATTAAGTAAGATTGGGAAAGGCTTCTTTTACCATGTAGAGACTTAAAGGAAGCCAGGGAAGTTAGGATCTGGAGATGAGGAGGGAGACTTTTTCAGGCATGCTGAACATCCAGTGAAAATGCACAGAGTCAGAAGATGTAGTGTCCTGTGTTTTTAAAGAACAACAAGGAGACCTTGGTGTCATTGGATGATAAGAGTATGTGCAGGGGAGTAAGATGTAAGCAGCTGGGAAACTAGTAATGAACCAGGTTATGGAGAGCTCTAAAAACCTAACGGGATTTTATATAGGGTTCTCAAGTCTGAGACTTTTGGGACACCCTGTATTTAATCCTAGAGGCAGCAGGGAGTTACTGGTATTGAATAGGAGCAGAGAGGGATGATATGATCAAAAGCCCACTACTTCCTTTACATGATTTCACTTAGTGATTTCATCAGCTCTTGCAGTTTCTAATATATCTGTGAAGATGATGCTCAGATTTGCTTATCTAGACCTAACCCAACCTCTAGTCTCCCCACCCGCAGTTACTGTGCTTTAGGAAGATCATTATGACGATTGAATGAAGGGTGAGCTGGAGGAGGAAGAGACTTGAGGCATAAAAACCAACCAGCAGGCTATTGCAGTAGTCCAGGCCTAAGGGGATGAGGGCCTACACCAGGGTGGTGGCAGTGTCACTGGAGGAAAGGGGACACTTATGAGAAATATTACAAAGGTATTTAATGACAAGACCTGACAACTAATTGGATATGAAGAGTGAGAGTAAAGAGTCAGAGATGGTAGCTCGGTTGAGAGCCTGAGTGACTGGTGGTAGCCTTGACAGTAAGAAGTTGGAAAAAAGGGAGGAAAAGTTAGGAAAGTTAGGGAAAGGGGGGATTTTGGAGGGAAAGATAATGAGTTCATTTTTTGACATGTTGAGTTTAAGATGGATTTCCAGTTTAAGATGTCTAATAGGCTATTGGAAAATATGAGACTAGAGGTTTAGTTAGGTCTGGATAAGTAGATTTGAGCATCATCTGCATAGAGATATCGGAAACTGTAGGAGCTGATGAAATCTCCAAGTGAAATCATGTAAAGGAAGTAGAGGGCTCAGCACAGAGCCTTGAGGATTACCCAAGTGAATATCTTGGAAAGGAGACAGAGAGAAGGTACAGTCAGAAGAGAGCAGTGCCACAAAGACCTAGAGAGAAGAAAATATCAAGAAGAGAGTGATAATAGTGTTGGAGGCTGCAGAACAGTCAAGATTGGGGATTGAGAAAAGGCTGTTGGATATGGCGATTAAGAGATCATTGGTTAACTTTGGAAAGAGTGGTTTTGGTTGAATTATGAGGTCATAAGTCATACTGCAGAGAGTTAAGAGAGTGAGCAAAGAAAGTAGAGGTACTTATTGTGAATGGCCTTTTCAAGGAGTTTATCCTCAAAAGAGGCAAGATATAGGATAATAGGTAGCAGGGTGGATGGGTTTTTGGAGGATGGAAAGTAATGGGCATATTTGTGATCAGTAAGGAATCATCCAGTAGACAGAGAGAGCTTGAAGATAAGTTAGAAAGTGGGGATGAGAAAGGAGGGGAAGTTAAAGAATGAGGATGATTTAGCAGGAAATGTTCTGGAGAGGACGGGTTAAAATGTGCCCTTGTGTATGAAGAGAGATTTGTCTTGGCAAGAACAAGGGTCACCTCATGTGACGTGGAGTGAAGGAGAGGATGGATAGGTGTGGGGAGGCATCTGTTCTGTGGGATCAGGAACAGAAGAGAAGAGGGAGTGCTCAGTAAATGGCCTCATCATTTTTCAGTGAAAACTAGAAGACAATTCTCAGCTGAGAGAATTGGAGAGGAGGAACCAACAAAAATTTGAGGAGGGCTGAAAAGGGTTGGAAAAGCCACTGTATGGTGAGTGGGATAGTGAGTTAATTAAGGATGTATAAAAGGATTGCTTTGTTACAGTGAGGGCCTGATTGAGATGAAGTAGCATAAAGTTGCAGTGAACCAATTTAACACAGTTTAGCAGTAGTGAGTAAAGGGCTGGCCTTGGAGTCAGGAAGATTCCTGCCTCCAGTACTAGCTCCGTGATTGTTGGCAAGTCTCTTAAGTTCTCCGTGCCTCCATGCAGCTCCTTAAGATTGTAAATTACAGAAGAAATGCTTTTCTACATGGGTCAAGGGAATTTCCCATACCAGTGAAGTGACAGATCTGAGTAGCATCATCCCTTATGATAGGTTTTTAAGACAGTTTCAAGGAGTGTTCTGTAAGCTGAACCCTACAGATCATTTCCAGGTCTTCTAACTAAGCTGCATTCTTCTCTAGACCCTATATCTATGGTCCTACATCACAAGGAGAAAGGATGCAGATTCTGCAGAATTTCAAGCATAACCCAAAGATCAACACTATCTTCATATCCAAAGTAAGTAAGGAGTCCTTCAAGATGATATCGCTGTAACAAGAAGAAGGCACTTGGCTGAACATAAAGATGGTAGTTGTGACATTTCTGGTTAAATGGATGGCCCCTGGCTAGGCTGTCATTTTATTCTTTGTGGTTACAGAGCAGCAAAACAACAAATAACCCTACAGTCATTTCTGTGTTTTGAAAGCATCATGATTTGAGGGGCAGCAACTTTACTTCTTCATTATGTTTTGCTGATAGTGTACCAAAATGAGTTTGCGTTCCCAGAGTATACAGAAGTTGGCCACTGGAGGATTGTATCCAGGAGCTTATTGGGATTTAAAATGGCCTTAGGATATTCCACAAGTAGGTTTTTATTCATTTGATTATTTAACATTTTTTTATAGTCCACTACTTACCAGCATTATATAGCCAATCCAAGTGTCAGAGGAAGATTTATTAATGCCACTTGATGATAGTCCCCTCCTTTGACCAAGACATTGCGTAAGGATTCTTTAACCTGAATTTTCAATATAAGATAAAACAAAGAGTTCTTTTTTTTTTATCTTCACAAAAGCGTTTTTGTAAAATTTCGGTTTAGACTTTGGATTAAGTATTGTCAACCTTTTGCTGGGTTATAGGCACTCAAATGCCATGTTTAATTTGGTAGTCTGAATAAAAATTAAATCTACATATTTTCAGTGATTAAACTATAATACTAATGTGACCATGATTATAAGTTAATTGCCTATGTAAGTTCTTTGGTGTATTCCATGACCACAGACTGAACTCCTGAGCCAATCTCAGCATCTCACATGTTGTTCAGAAGGCAGATGAGGTCAAGAGAATGGCATTGGCTAAGTGCATGATGGGAGAAAGAATCGATAACATCTTCACAAATGGAGGATGGCATAATATTTTCTCCATAAAAGTTGAAAATATTACATGAAAGTAGTCTATTTCCTTATGTCTGTGATACTGCCATCATCATGATAATTAAAAAATTTGGGATGAATAGATAAAATTGACATTGACTTAAGGTTTTGAAGTGTTCCTTGGAATGACTCTATCCTGAGGCTAATGTGATAATTGATGATCCCTTGCCAGAACCACCAAATCATCAGAACTCCCCTCCATCCTGCTTTCTTCCCTTCTGGGTCAATCCTTGCCACTCCCCCTTTCCCAAAACCTCCTCCTGCCCTTGCTTTTCACCCCTGTTACATGTAGTCTTCCCCCATTAAGATGTAAGCTACTTGAGAGTAGCAATCATCTTGTTTTCCTGTTTTTGAATCCCCAGCACTTAACACAGTACCTGGCACATAATAAGCATTTAATAAATGCTTTATCTAATTACATTCAAGGCATTTTTTATATCTTTGCATTGTTTATACAAAACCTGGTTCTTACCTATTCCAAACTCAGTAGTTGCTTCACTTTTACAGGTAGGAGACACATCATTTGATCTGCCTGAAGCAAATGTTCTAATTCAGATATCTTCTCATGGTGGCTCCCGAAGACAGGAGGCACAAAGGTTGGGGAGAGTACTTCGAGCCAAGAAAGGTAATTTAGTTTTCCCTAGGATTCCTGTGCTCTGAAACTTGTCCTGGAAGAGTTCTACTACTGTATAAGTTGTTTTGTTAAATAAGGTAGAGGTCAGGGGAAGCTTGAATTTGATCATCAAATCCCTTGATCCAAAAGTAAAATATTTCCCCTCTGCTTCCAAGGACAGTATCATTCTTTGCCACTGCAAAAAGAGCTGCTATACATATTTTTGTACATTTTTTTCCTTTTCCTTTTTGTTTTTTTCTCTGTTTGGGGTGCAGACCTAGTTAGAGGTATTTCTGGGTCAGAGGTTTATGGTTTTATAGCCCTTTAGGCATAGTTCCGGATTGCTCTCTAGAATGGTTGAATCAGTATACAGCTTCAGTATACAACTCATTTCATTTTTCTGTCATATTAGCTGATCTCATAGGTGTGGTGTGGTACTTCAGAATTGTTTTAATTTGCATTTCTCTAATCAGTGGTGATTTAAAACTTTTTTTCATGTGACTATAAATAGCTTTGATTACTTTGTCTGAAAACTGCCTGTTTGTATTCTTTGATCAGTTGAGGAATAGCTCTTATTTTTATGAGACTCATTTCTCTATATATTTGAAAAATGAGGCCTACATCAGAGAAACTAGCTGTAAATTTTTTTTCACAGTTATGATTACTGTTTATTTTCCTCCATTCTATTTTTCTCCCTGTTTATCCTACTCTGTCTCTCCCTTCACCCTGTTCACCTTCAGAAGTGTTTTGCTTTTAACCACCACTTCCCTCTGCCTTCCCTTCTGTCAGCCCTCCTCCCTTCTCTTCTCCCTACTTTCTTGTAGGGTAAGATAGATTTCTATACCCAACTGAGTGTGTATGTTATTCCCTCTTCGAGCTAGTTCTGATGAGAATAAGGTTCATGAGGTTCCCCATCTTCCCCTCCGATGTAAAAGCTCTTTTGCACCTCTTTTGTGTGAGATAATTCACCCCATTCTACTTCTTAACTTTCTGCTTCTCCCAGTGCATTCCTCTTTCTCACCCCCTTAATTTTTTTTTTTAAATAATCATCCCACCATATTCAACCCACTGTCTATGTATACTCTGTGCCCTCTGTCTATGTATACTCCTTTTAATTGCCCTAATAATGAAAAGATTCTTAGGAATTTCAAATATCATTTTCCCATGTTAGAATGTAAACAGTTAAACATTATTGAATCCCTTATGATTTCTTTTTCCTATTTACCTTCTTATGCTTCTCTTGAGTCTTGTGTTTGAATATCAGATTTTCTGTTCAGCTCTGATCTTTTCATCATATATACTTGAAAGTCCTCTATTTTATTAAATGTCCATTTTTTTCCCCTGAAGGATTATATTCAGTTTTACTGGGTAGGTGATTTTTGGTTGTAAACCTAGCCCTTTTGCCTTCTGGAATATCATATTCCTTTAATGTCAAAGCTGCTAAATCTTGTGTTATCCTGACTGTGACTCTTGGTGATTCTTGGTTATAAGCCTAGTTCTTTTGTCCTCTGGAATATCATATTCCAAGCCCTCTGATTCTTTCATGTCAAAGCTGCTAAATCTTATGTTATCTTGACTGTGACTCCACGACATTTAAGTTGTTTCTTTCTTGCTGCTTGCAATTATTTTCTATTTGACCTGGGAGCTCTGGAATTTGGCTGTAATATTCCTGGGAGTTTTCATTTTGGGATCTTTTTTAGGAGGTGATTGGTAGATTTTGCCATTTCTATTTTACCTTCTGGTTCTAGAATATCAGGGCAGTTTTCCTTGATAATATCTTAAAAGATGATGTTTAGGCTCTTTTTTTCATGATGGCTTTTAGGTAGTCTAATAATTCTTAAATTATCTCTCCTTGATCTTTTTCCAGGTTAGTTGTTTTTCCCATGAGATATTTCACATTTTCTTCTATTTTTTTTTTCCATTCTTTTGATTTTTGTCTCATTGTTTTTTGATGTCTCATGGAACCATTAGCTTTCACTTGCCCAATTCTAATTTTTAAGGAAATTTATTTATTTATTTATTTAATTAATTATTTATTTTGGTTAGGCAGTGGGGTTAAGTGACTTGCCAAGGGTCACACAGCTAGTAAGTGTTATGTGTCTGAGGCTGGATTTGAACTCAGGTCCTCCTGACTCCAGGGCCAGTGCTCTATCCACTGCGCCACCTTGCTGCCCCAAGGAAATATTTTCTTCAGTGAGCTTTTGTACTTCCTTTTCCATTTGGCCAATTTTACTTTTTAAGGAGTTCTTCTCTAAAGTGAATTTTTGTGTATCTTTTTCCATTTGACCTATTCTGCTTTTTAAGGACTTGTTCACATTGAATATTTGTGCCTCTTTTACCACTCGGCCAATTCTGTTTTTTAAGGTGTTATTTTCTTCCATTTTTTTGTGCCTCCTTTACCAAGCTGTTGACTCTTTTTTCATGATTTTCTTGCAACACTCATTTCTTTTCTCTATTTTTCCTCCATCTCTCTTATTTGATTTCTAAAATCCTTTTTGAGCTCTTCCAGGGTCTTAAACCAGTTCACATTTTTTTAAGGCTTTGAATGTACCAGTTTTGACTTTTTTGTCTTCTTATGAGTTTGTGTTTTGATCTTCCCTGTCACCGTAGTAATTTTCTATGGTTTAGATTTTTTTGTTTGTTAATTTTTGTAGCCTATTTCTTTACTTTTAACTCTATGCTAAAGTAGGGCTGTGCTTCCAGGGTGGAGGGGTCACTGTTCCAAGCTTCACGTAGCTGTTTTCAGAGCTAATTCTGGGGACCTGTAAGTTTTCATTTCTTCCAAGGTTGTATGATCTAAGAAGAGATGTGTTTACTACTCTCCTGGCCTGTCCCTTGGTTTGTGAGTGACCACAAGCACACTTTGCAGTCCTGGAAACAATGTGACCAGGATCCTAGCTCCTCTGAGGCTGCAAGCTCTGGTGTGCTAGTGCTATTCTTCACCTTGGGATGGATACCCAGGACTGTGACCCAGTATGGGCAGTGTAGCTTGAGTCTTGCACCCAGTGCCAGTAAAGGGATTCCTTCTGACCAGTTGTCCCACCCCCTTACCATTTGTGGGCTCGTAGATTTTGAAGCCAGCCCTGCTGCCACTGCTTCAGTCACCCCCAGGGCCTGCTGCTTCTTTGTTGGAGCCCCGTCTTAGCTGTCGCAGCCTTAACTGGACTGCACTCTACTCTCACCCCAATGTAATAGACCTTTCCTGCTGATCTTCTAAGTTGTCTAGAGCTGGAAAATTGTTTTACCCTGTCTTTTTGTGGGTTCTACTGTTTCAGAATTTGTTTTGAGGCATAATTTAAAGTTAGTTGGGAAAAAAAATACAAGTAATAAAGTTGTTTGGAGAAAAATTTGGGAGAGCTTAGGTGAATCCCTGCCTTTTCTCCACCATCTTGGCACTGCCTCCTTGGCTTTGCCAAGAAAGGGCAAAACAGAGAAAGAAAACTATAGGCCAATTTCTTTAATGAATATCAACACAAATTTTTTAAATAAAATGCTAGTAAGGAGATTTTTACAGCAATGTATCACAAAGTCGATACATTATGACTAGGTAGAATTTGTATCAGAAATGCAGAGCTGGTTCAATATTAGGAAAATTATCAGCAGAAATGGCAATCTGAGTCCTTGACCTTGAATCATGAACTAGAAGAGGATATGGGCAGAACTACATTTGAGAAACTGGAATGGAAAGACCTAGTTACATCGAGTAGCCAGCATCCTTGCTAGCTGTTATTTGCTGGAGGAAACTAGGTGGTGTTTGTTGTTGTTGTTGTTGTTTGGGGGGTGGGTCTTTTTTGTTTTTTGTTTTTATTTAGCACTACAGAGACAGTATTGGATGAGGAAGCCTAGAGGAACCTGAAAAGGGTAATTCCTTTTCCACCTGCCAGTGATTCTGTGTTACTTAAAATAAGTAACCCTGGGTCAATAAACTTTTTTTAGATATATTTTGATACCTGTTTTGTAATTATGTATTTTATGCATTGAGAAAAAATATTCTGAGAAGAGGCCCATAGGCTTTACCAGATTGCCAAAAGGGTCTGTGACACATACAAAAAAGGTTAAGAACCTTTTAATAGGAACTCAAATGCTGAACTGTTAGATTTTTGAAGGGAATTGAACTGTCGTGCCGAGAGCTGGTGCTTTGTTTCTATGTCCCAGTGAATATTGCTGGATGAGGTCCTTCAGCAGAATAGGACAAAGACAGGAAAACAAGCAGAGGTTTTTCTTTTTGAAAAGAGCAAGTGCTATTGAAAAATCCATTTAAATAGCTAGAATATGTCTATTCTTAATTAAAATGCTCTTTGGCATGTAAGGTACTGAGTCCTCCCTTTAAAGGAGCCTTTCCAGGCTTTTTAGACAATTAGCAACCCTTACAACTGCAGAAGCAATGGTCATTCCTCAAGGAGCTGACGTCGTATATTTTGTAGACAAAGGTTCTTAAATAACGCAGACCCCCAGGGTCACCAGTGTTGGCTGCCCTGGTTTCAGTCATGTCCTTCTGTAGTGTGAGAGAGTTTTTCATCTAGATGATTTTTAGAACTCTTAAGGATGCCTCAGTACTCATGATAATAAGAATTTTGATCTAATGAAAACTCTATCCTTTGTCTACGTTTCAGATGCAGGAAAGCCTTTACAGTAAAGAAGCAAATTGAGTGTCTTATTGAGAAAATTCTCCAGTAGATAGCAACTTGAGCATGAATTCTTTCTCAGATTTAAAAGGGGTGAGGTTAAGGAAGACAACCAAAGTGTAGTGGAAAGAGCCCTGATTTGAAGTCCAAGGACCTGCGTTTAAGTCTTGACTCCTTTGCTGCTTTCTATCTGTGTGACTTCATGCAAGTCATTTTGTTTCTAGGCCTTAGTTTTCTTACGTATACCATGAGCCAGATCTATTAGGTGACCTTTTCCAGCTCTAAATTCTATTATCCTTTGTTCGGAGAAGAGACTGGAAAAGATCTGTACACAGCAGCAGATAATCTACTCTGATCTTATTTCAAATTTGGGAAATATAGTGATTTCATGTTTTCAGAAGTAAATAGCAGAGATAATATATATTACCTAAATCAAGTATTAGGTACCCTATTCTATGAATATATCTTTATTTTTATTTTTATTTTTGGTGAGGCAGTCAGGGTTAAGTGACTTGCCCAGCATCACACGGCTAGTGAGTATCAAGTGTCTTAGGCCAGATTTGAACTCAGGTCCTCCTGACTCCAAGGCTGGAGCACTATCCTCTGTGTCATCTAGCTGCCCCATAGGTACCCTATTCTAGAGGCTTCTGTTTTCCTCTACTGACTTTTTTGTGACTATATTTAGAGTTTCCAGCTTCTGTGAAGTGTAGAAGTTTATGTTAGTATAGAATACTAAGTATTAACATTTTAACTTTTACCTGTATTATATGTGTGTGTGTGCGTGTGCTCTTGCTTCACAAGACACAGTTTGTGAATGTTTCAAACCTTGAAACAGATTTATCTATTATAACCTCCTGAAAGATTGGAAGGGAAAAGGAAAAGAAAGCATATGGTACATTTTATATATTACATTCAAAACTGTCCTGTTTGTCTCTGCTTTCTTCTGAATTTCCTTCTGTTCATTTCTGTACATTTTTAGATGACAGTATTTTCATCACTATTGCTGGTCCTCCCTGCCTCCTCTCTTCCCCCTCCCCAACCCCTTCCTCCCACATTAAAAATTGAAAGACAGGAAAAAGCTCTTGTAACAAACATAAGCAAAACAAATCCACCCAGTGGTCATGTCCAGAACGTATGTCTCTTTCTGCATCTTGTTTCTGTCTCCTCTGTATTAGGATGCAGGTAACATGCTTCGATTATAGATCCTTTGGAGACATGGTTGGTCATTTCTTTGATCAGAGTTCTTAAGGATTTCAAAGTTCTTTTTCTTTACAGTGTTACTGACCTTGTATAAATTGTACTCCTGGCTCTGCTTATTTGGCTCTGCATCAACTCATCCTACCCAGGATTCTCTGAAATTATCTGCTTTGTCACTTCTTACTGCACAATAATACTGCAGTAAATTCATATGTCGCAGTTTATTCAGCCATTACCCATTTGTCTAAGAGGCACTTGAAGACAACTGCCTTACATTCTATTCTAGTTCTTTACTTTTTTACCTTGAACATCAAGGTTTGCTTGTAGCTCTTCCCTCCCTGGTATTACTTTCCCTCTTAAATGTCCCTCTGCCATCCCCACTTGTTTCCCTATTCAGTTTAGTGTATTTCTGCAACAGACTGTGTGTTTGTGTTGTGTGTATGTAACTTTCATTTATCCTTTTCAGATGAGTGTGTCATCTGATGCCCCTTCACCCATCCTTTCCTCCATTGTTTATATGTTTTTCCTCTCATACACCCCAATTAAGAGAAATAGCAAATTGCACTCTCTTCTTCCTCTCTGCATTAGTGTATTCCTTTTATTCTTGCTTCTTTTATTCTTTCTTCAAGCCCTCAGGACTCAACCCATCAACTTCCCAGGCCCCTTGTTTTTCTTATTTAACTCTCTCAGTATCCTTTGAAGACCTTAAGGTTCTGAAGGAATCATCTCTTCTCAGCCTGCATAGAGAAACATCACATTAGCACACAGCTCCTTTCCAGTTGCTCAAATAAATATACCTCTAGGTCTCTCTGGATTCATGTTTGTATCTCAGAGTTCCTACTACTCAGCTTGGGTCTTTTTGGTCTTTTCATGAGAAATGTCCTCTAAAGGTTCATTTGGTTTTTTCCTCCGATAGAATTATACTTAGCTTTGCTCACAGTAAGTTTTTCTTGGTGTAAGCCTATCTTTTTTGCCTTTTGGAATTTTGCATTTCAAAGAATTTCTCTCATTTTTAGTAATAGCTACCTGGTTTGTATGATCCTTACTGTGGTCTCTTAGTACTTGAACTGCTTCTTTCTGAATGCGTGAAGTATTTATTTCTTTGATGTAGAAGCTCTAAATTTTGACTATGACATTCCAGGAACTTTCTTTTTGAGTTTCCTTCATGAGATAATTGGTGGATTCTTTCTATCTTCACTTTGTCCTTTGGTCTGGGCAGTTTTTGTTGATGGGTTTCTTGAAATATAATGCTCAGGGCAGTAGCACTCCAAGATGCCATAGGTCACAGTAGCTGTGGCTCTGCATGTTCCTCCCCCCTCCCCACTCCAGTACAGCCCTTTCTTGTGACAACTCTGGCACCTGGAGCCCAGCATCCTGGGAAAGGAGCCCAGTGAAGAGCCCAGTAAAGGGCAAAAGATAAGGCAAAAATGTGAGGGACGGCTGCACCTTCAAAGCCCTACTGGCTTGTATCAGGAATTTATCTTTGATGCGTTTTTAATGTTTATTGACATCTACATGGACCTTGACTCGGAATATCCATATGGCACAACAACTACAAGAGAATTTCTTGAAGATAAGGGGACAGAGGAATGTCAGTGCGCCAAAACTCAGCTATCTTAGGGACCATATTTTCTTGCACTATTTGGTGGAATCCTGTCAGGGAAAATACAGCTGTAAGAACATAATCATTAGTGGCAGCATCATGGGAGGAGCCATTGATTTTAAAGCTGATTTAAAGGCCAAGACTGTCAGCTGTTGAGTTGAATTTGTTGTTTTCTCTGCTGCAGTTTATTACAGTTTCCTGTAATAAGAGGTGGAGGAGCATACCACCCCTGCACTGAACCCTAAAGCTAATCGAAAGGCTGGTTCCATTGACCGTGGAGGTTTTGGTGGCTTTTTTGTTTTGTTTTGTTCTGCTGCAATCAAATCATTACCTACAATGAGAGCAAGAGAGGAGCATAATGTCCTAGCACCTGAACCATCCAGTGGAAGAAAGCAGGACTTTAAAAATTGTTCCCATGAGTATGAAGAATTTGTGAAGTTTGTTTCCCTTCTTGAATTGTTGGTGATGTGAAGGGTGATTTATTGGTCACTGCTCTCTTCTGTTTCCTGAGTAGTCACATTTGACTTCTTCCCTGGTCTTGGCAACTTGCTTTTAGCAATGATCTCTGGTCTTTCCAGGACTCCACTCAGAGAAATGTCACGGGCAAGTAGCTCCTTAGAACGAATCAGAGGACAGTTTGTTGACTTCCAGGAATTACTTACCTCTGCATTTGAATCTTCCTGACTGTAGCTATCCAGTTTGCCGGTGTTACTGCTAAAATAGACGTGGTGGCATTCTTTCCTGTTTTGTTTTGGAATTCATTGGAAGCAATATATCATAAAGCCCCCTGGTAGAGGGAGGCAAGATAGAAGGGCAAGGGACAAAGTAAAACTTATTCATTCCATCTACCTCATTTTATGGCTAGAGAATTGTTCTGTCATTTTGGCCACCACCAGGTCATCCATGTTGTTGAAATTATGTGTTTAAATAAAGTTTGAAAAGACTAATTTGAAGAAAAAAAGAAAAATAGAGTGTTAAAATTTTTTTATCCTAGTTTTGACTATGAGTCCAACGATTTTTAAGTCATAATTTTAAATTATCTCTCCTTGACCTGTTCCAGGTCTTTTTTACATATATATGTAAAATCAGATATCTCACATTTTCTTTTTCTTTTTCTTTTTCTTTTTTTCATTTTATTTTTGTTAGAATACTTCTTGCTATCTCTTGGAATCATTGATTTACGTTTGATCTGTTCTAGTTTTCAGGGAGTCCATTTCTTGGGTAAGGTTATTCTTTTTCTGCTAAACTACTTATTTTCTTTCTAATTCTTTCTCATGAGATTTTATTTCTGTTTTTTATTTCATAATATTTCTTCTAGATATTCATGTAGTCCGTATAGAAAAAACTTTTTTCCCTTTGAATCACTTCTTATAGTTGTTACAAAGTTACTACCTTCTTTTGGGGGTTCTTTAGATTTGTAATACTTTTTTGTGCTGATTAGTGTTTTATTCACTTTACTCCCTTTCCAACCTTAGTTCCTGAATTAGAGCTTTATTCCTAGGCTGGCTCCCTCCCCTACTATGCTTTTGAATAAAATAATTGTCTCTGCTTGGTTTTGCCCTGAATTTCTGTGCTGAGATTCAGAGTACTCCGTCTTCAGGGCCCCCTATGTTATTCCAGGACAGACTATTAGGCATTTCAGAATCCTGGGCTTGAATGTCCCCAGCCTTGAGCTCTGTAGTGCTGTGCTGATTGCTGCTGTTCTCCAGAACTTCTGGGACTTTCCAACCATCCTCAGCCTTTCTTAAGGGAACCCCCTGTTTTTGTTGCCTGAGGACACAGAACCTTAAAGGCTACATGTCTCTCACCATTGTTAGTCATACTGGGGGCTGTGCTGGTTTATTGCTGACTTTGCTAGTTGTAGACTCCCTTATTGTCAGGCTTCTGACCGACTTCTTGTACATTTCTGGGATGGAAGATGTCACAGTAATTTCTCTTTGGATATCTGATCATTATTCAATCTGGTACAAGCGTTATGGTCTAGATGGAGTGGGTATATAGTAGTTGGGCAGTCTGCCTCCCATTCAGGTAGCTATCTTGGTAGGAAATCTCACATCCTCTTTTCTCGCAGGCTAATATTTACTGTTTCGTATCCTCTAGGAATGGTTGCAGAGGAGTATAATGCCTTCTTCTACTCACTGGTATCCCAGGATACACAGGAAATGGCATATTCAACCAAGCGGCAGAGGTTCCTGGTCGATCAAGGTTATAGTTTCAAGGTAAGCAGCACTGGGTTCCTTTACCCATTAGGACAAGTGCTGTGGAAGCCTGTTGTTTGATCCTGAGAGGGAAGTAGTGACCACTCTCAGTATTTACTTGAGGCATAGAGAATCCCTAGGTAATTAAAGATCTTAAATAAGTCCTTCTTTGTCTCTGAATGAATTTGTTGGGTAACTAATTAGGAAGGTACTCAATTGGGGGCTTGAAGAAAAGGCTTTTGTGTCTTTCTAACATAGTAACTAGAGGACAGAGTTGGATTTCTTTGGTGGAATAGAAAGGAAAGATTGAAAAATGAAAATTGGTGGCTAGTTGGAAAATGAGCTGAATATGTTGCAGTTTGGCATGCTTTGGAGGTTCTGCCAAGATTCTGAATCAGATTTGAGGGTTAGAGTAGGGGTGAGAGTATGTGTAAGAAAAAAAGAGAAAATTCAAGTAAAAGGATCCTTAAGGGCTAATCATCAAAAATAAATTAACACGTCTTAATCTTCCTTGCTTCCACTCTTGCGCAGCACTCCCCCTTACCCTGCACATAGGGGTACTCTGCAAAACTAATTAGTTACCCTTTGGTTTGCTGTAGCTAGGAAGCAGTAGGCTGAGAGAGGCATTTAAGGCACATTATTCATCATTTAGATCAATGTATCAAAATCACTTAGATCCCTAGATGGGGCAGTAGATAGAGTGTTGTCCTGGAGTCAGGAAGACTCATAAGTTCAACTCTGGCCTTAGACATCTATTAGCCGTGTGACCCTGAGCAAGTCACTTTACCCTGTTTGCCTCCATTTCCTCATCTATACAATGAGCTGGAGAAAGAAATGGCAAATACTCCAGTATCTTCGCCAAGAAAACCCTAAACAGATTCACGAAGAATCAGACATAACTGAAAAATGACTGAGCAACAACAAAGTCAACCACTTAAAAGATCCTGCTGGTATAGGTTATTGTAGGTTGATTCATATCACTGGGAGATTTCAGGATTTGCACTTTCTTGAGCCATAGCTATCTTTGTTGTGCATAGCAAGTCAGTGGCATAATTTAGTATCCTAAGTGAGTTATGTGGGGAAAGAGTGAGCAGAGGTGCTGCTTGTTCTTGGCACATCAGAGGAAGGTTAGCTGCCTCTTTTCATCCAACCACCATCTCACAAATCTGTTAAAATTAATACTAAATAACTTATCTTTAGAAAGGACAGGACTTACTTTCTGCTAATATTGAGCGGATTTTGTCTTAAGAGAATGGTCTGGTGGGTTTTGGTTTTATGTTTTTTGTTTGGTTTTTTTTTTTAAATCTTCAAAATCACGTAGAGTTAAGAGGAGGGGCTGATAGACAACCAGGAGACCGGGGTTTGGGACACAGTTCTGCTAAGGAATTTTTTGTAGTCTTAAGTGTCTTGTTCAAAGAAAAGCAAGGGGGCCAGTGTCATTGAATCATAGAATACCTAGAAGGGTGTAAGTTGTAAGAAAAAGAGTGCAGATTAAGAAGGGCTTTGAATGCCAGAGGATTTTATATTTAATCCAGGGGGTGATAGGGAACTACTGGAGTTTAGGGAGATGATATGATCAGACCTATGCTTTAGAAAGAATACTTTGATACATATGAAATTAAGGAAGGCCCTTCACCATCCTGGTTACCTTCCTCGAGATGCTCCCAGGCATTTTAAGTCCTTCCTAAACTCTGGCCCCTAGAAGGGAACACAGTCCCAAATATGTTCTGACCAGAGCAGAATACAAAAGGACTAAACTATACTTAACTTAATGCAGTCCAAGATTGCATTACATATTGAAGTTTTTTTTGGCAGCTGCATCATACTGTTGACTCATATTGAGACTTGAAGTCTCCTTATTCCTCCAAATCTCTTTTGTACACAATACTGTCTACCATGCTTCCTCCATCCTTAAGTCTTAAATGTCTTACATGAGTTGAAAAAAAATAGTTGTAGAATTACATTTTTTTTAGCTCATGTAAGACTTTATATTTATCTTCTTTGGACTTGACTTTATTGGATTAGCTCAGTGTTTTAGCCTATCAGAAATCTTTTTAGATCCTAACTCTTCCATCCAGAGTATTAAGTATTCCACAAAGCTTTGTGCCATCTGCAAATTTGATAAGTATGTTATCTATGCTTTTATCCAAGTAATTGATAAAACTGTTAAAACACCACAGAGTTGAGCCCATTCTGACTACTTGTCCAGTCTTTGTTCTCTTTAGTGTCACTTTCTCCTGCTGTGTGTACTGTGATGTTAGGGTCCATCCAAGTGTGGTAATTCCATTATCCATGACGCTGGAATGAGTTTGTTGAAAAGGTTTTTATAAATCTTTTGCATTTTTCTTCTGTTCATAGTCTGTTTTCATCTTTGAATGCTCTTAAGATGATTTTGCTTTATTAGATATCTTGCAAAGCTTTCTTTAAACTGGTTTAACCTTTTACCCTTTCACTCTGCTTTATGAGACAATATTGCTCATAATTATCCATCATTATTTGTAAGATTTTACAGACGAGTTTATAGTCTAACTTGGTGTTATCTTTGGCAGATCTGATGTTTGCTGACTAAAGCATTTTCTCTTTTGGTCTTTTGTGAAAAATTTACATTGGTTAAATTTCAAGATAAAGTTGCGATAGTGTTGATATCATTTCTGATGTCCATTTCCCATTTTTTATTTTCAGTAACTTCTTTTATTCAGGTTTGCTTAGTTAAGTAATCTTAAATGTATAACATAAAATTTTTCCTTATTATTCTTCCTTTGACAAATTCTGACCTTAGTTCTTATGATTCATTGTTCTGACTGCACAGACAACTGACTCAGGGATAAACTCCCACTTCAGTAACAAGTTTTTTCCTGTCTGTTAAAATGTAGCAGGTTTTGGGGGGTTTTTTGGTGTTCACAATGTCCAACACCTAATAATTCATCTCTTAAAGTAGATTTTCATTATAGGAAGGCATGAGGTTTTCTATTTGATTTCATTTAAATAGCAGATGCAGAGGGGAAGAGCTACATGATTCGTTGGAAAAATAAGAGAGAAACAGCAATACAATGATCCATCACAATTTCAAAAGACTCATGATGGAAAATGCTATCCACATCCAGAGAAAAAAACCATAGAGTCTGAATATAAATCAAAGTATACTCTTTTCCCTTTAGTTCTGTTTCTTCTTTCACAACATGACCAGTGTAGAAATATGTTTACATGTATTTACAAATATTTATATAGCATCTCTTAAGTGCCAGGTGTGATATTGAGCACTTTACAAATATTATCTCATTTAATAATAAGGTACCATCACCTTAACCTAAAAGAGGGTATGACTATTTGAGGATTATTGTTCTTTTCTTCTTCTTATCTCTGCCACTAACTACCTTATTGACTTTGGACTTATTATCCCAACTTATGAGTCACATCTGTAAAGGAAGGGGGTTGGACTAGATGACCTCAAAGATGCTGTCTGGCCCTTTATAAAGATCTGTGAGTCCATCCCCACTCCAGAGAGCTGCTGGCCTTTTTACAGTGTACCAAGAGTCATAGTCATATATTAAGGACTATGTTACCAGATGTTCTTTTGCCACACAACTCTCTTGCTGTGAAACCAAGGTGCTGGGCCTCTTTCTTAAGCAGCACATTATTTCGTGGTAAACTATAAAGCTTGCCAGTGAGAAGGCAACTAATTAGAAGTGACAAATGCAAAAAAATATATATCCCAGAAGGAAACAAAAAAGTTCAAAAGGGGACAAAGCTGGACAGTTTTGTTATTCTCTTTTCAATTTAACATATACTTTTTAAAAAAAGTTGGCAGTTTCATATACTATCTTGTGTTACTCTTTTGTAAGTTAGAATGTCAGAATTTGTTGTTATTAAGTTCATAATGGAGAAAGCATTTTAATAGCTACCAAAAGAGAACAATCTGTTGTCACTTTTTACTTTACAGGTAATTACAAAGCTTGCTGGTATGGAGGAAGAAGAATTAGCATTTTCATCTAAAGAGGAACAGCAGCAGCTTTTACAGAAGGTCCTGGCAGCCACTGACTTGGATGCTGAGGAAGAAGTGGTAGCAGGAGAATTTGGCTCCAGATCCACTCAGGTGAGTTGACATAAAGCCATTCTTGTTCTTGAGCAGTTTAGGCTTTAACATACCCAGAAGACAAGGTACTTAACATTTGATTCCAAAGAAGTAGATGTGATTTTCCCCATTGATTCCATTTGTTGAGTCCATAGAAGAAAATGTGATTTAGAGCTATGAGTTAGTTAAATACCCTGGGCTGCAATCCCAGCCTTGCCTTTAACTAGCTATGGGGCCTTTGGGCAAATCACTTCATCTTCTTGAGCCTCAGTTTCTTCATCAGTCACATGAAGGTAATAATCCCTGACTTATTGACCTTATGAGGTGATTAAGAATCAGTTAAGATGATAGGGAAAACTTGGATTGTGTCTTTTCTTGTACTCTCCCTGGCTTAAAAAATCCATAGAAGACATCTGTCTTGCAAGGTCACAGATATGAGGTATAGTTTTGGGCACCATTTGAGTTAGAGTTCATTTATCTTTCGATGACCTTTAAGGAATAGTCCTGAGAAGCTAGTAGCCTACTTCTGAAGCCTGGGATTAGGACTTTTGAGATGCTTCCAACTTTGCTACTGTTAACGCATAGTTTTTGGATATCATGATAGAGATGGAAATGAAGTAGCCCTTTTTTGTCCCTGGAAAACCTATTTCAGTATATTTGCAATGGCTGTCCCCCACATCTCCCTCCTCACTTCTGTGTATTCTACCCACTCAGGTGTCCCGTCGTTTTGGCACAATGAGCTCCATGTCAGGGGCAGATGATACTGTTTATATGGAATACCATTCTTCTCGAAGCAAGCCATCTGTAAATAAGCATGTCCACCCACTTTTCAAACGCTTCAGAAAATGATGTCAACGTAAGCTACTTTCAAGGACTGTATGTTTTGAGCAACTGCTTCAAAACATTGAAGGATGGAGCTGATCCTTTGGATTTCCAAAAGAATGCTTTATTTTCTGCTAGCATTGGCTGAGTTGGTCCAGATTAAATAACCAACCTTAACCACACTGCGGAAGTGTTGTAAATGCAGCAGGCTCTCGGTTACAACTTTGTGGTACTCCAAGAATAATAAAAGAAAATTATTTTTGTCTTTTCTAACCACTTTTCAAATGCAATTTGGAAAGAGGCTCTTGTGTGTAAAAATTTGTAACAGTATTAAAGTTTATATATCTGAAGGTTCTACTAAGTGAACATTAAACTTTACACGAAAAGTTAAATGTCCTCTTTTCATGAAAACTTTTGATTCCCTAATTTACTACTAGAGATCTGTCACCTTAAGTGGGAGATCTGTGCTTATTTATGCGTGAATTAGATCACATATATACACGCCCGTGGATGGATAAAGCAAGATAATGGACTCTTTCCCCAAAACCAGAAGCTTTATCCTATTTGGGGGTCACTGGCTGTATCTTGAAGAGGCAGAAGTGAGAGAGACCAGTCAGATCTGGTGATAGAGAAACAGCTCAAAACACAGGTTCCTATTAGTAATGAGTTAATTGCATCATCTTCAAATATATGAAGGACATTTTTTCTCCAAATGTCAAGATATACTCCTCCTGGCTCACATGATTTTTCTTTAATAACCATTTCCCCCAATTTTTCTAAATGGCCTTCCTTCTCATATTCTTAGTGGGAAAGAGGAAGCTAGGGAGGGAAAAAGCAAAAGGGTGGAAAAGCTTCCAAAAGTAAGCTAGGAATATAGCCCTAGTTCAAGGAAAAGCTTTTTATCCTGGTTAAGTTTGGTTAACAGCCTAAGTGGCCTTTCTATGTGTGTCTGTATTTTAATGGAGAACAGTGGGTGTCATGTATGCTTTTCATAGCTTTGTAAAGTGAGATCCTATGTTAAATGGCTCCTTGGCATTTGTTTGGTTGGGTTTTGTTTTGTTTTGGGGGGTTTTGGTCTCTCCTAAAGCCCTTGCAATTCTAGAACAGCAATCCCTTTTCATAATTGCAGTAAAGCATCAGTCTGAAAGCAGCTTCCTGGTAAACCCAACAGCCCAGCAACTCGGGATGAATTAGAAGACAATAATGCCTTTTGTTATGATAAGATGGAGCTGTTCCTGGGACACTGCTCTGCAACTACTTCCACGAATCCCATTTCTCAGAGATGACGTTTGTAAAAGCTCTTGTTTCTGTAAGAAGGAAGCTCCCTAACGTTGCAGAGGATAGTTCTGTGTTCTGTGAAGGATGCAGGGATATAATCCTGTTTGTTAGACATCCATACTGTGCTAAATATTATATAAAGCTTATCTGTGTACCATTCAGACTATGCATTCAAGAAGTTAAAATCCCAGTGCCCTTTGCATTCCAACTTTCAAACTCCTTGTCCAAATGCAACTTTCTCTCTCATAGTTACCAGTGAGCTTTTAATTGCCAAATCTGATGGCCTCCTCTCAATCCTTATCTTCTTGACCTCTTCAGCCCTTGAGCAAGTCAAGTGAATAAGCATTAAGTGCTTACTGTGTCCCAGTCACAATGCTAAGCAATGGGAATACAATACAAAGAGTAGGAGCCCCTGCCCTCAAGGAACTTACATCCTAATGAGGAAGATAACACAAAAAAGGAAGCCTAGAAGCAATGGACAGAGAAGGTACCTGTAGTGGCATGATAGAGGTCTAGAGAGTCAAATGTGGAGCCGAGAGAGGAATGAAGACTTGGCTGGCCTTAGCACTTGCTTAAAATGGAGATTCTGGGAAAAACCAGCCCATCATTGGAAGGGGCCATAGAACCACACTCTCTTCCTGGACACTCTAGGTTTTCACGACACTGCTGGGGTTTTTTGTTCTATCTGTCTCATTAATTCTTGGTCTCTTTTGTTGGATCATCACCCCCTAACTAAATACCGAGGCTCTGTCCTTTGTCCTCTGCAAGCTCTTGGTGTGCTCATAAGCTCCCATCACTTTAATTATCTCTGCAAATGACTCCCAGAGCTCTACATCCAGCCCCAGAGTTCCAGTCCCTCATCACAAAATGCCTATTTCAAAGTGGTTGTTCCAAAGGTACCCCAAGCTCAAGGTGTACAAAACAGAACTTAGCTATATGCCGAAACCCAGCCCTCTTCCAAACTTCCCTTTTCCTGTTAAGGGCACCATTATACTTTTCAGACACTCAGGTTTGCAACTTCAGTGACATCCTTGACTCCCCATTCTCCTTTAACCCAAATATCAGTCAATTGCCAAATCTTGTCATTTCTACCTGTACTCACATTCAGCACCCTAGATCAGACTATTGTCACCTCTTCTTGGACTATTGGATGAGCTTCCTAATTGATCTCTGCAATCTGCCCCCAAAGTATAGGTGTGACCATGTCTCTCTCTCTCTCTCTCTCTCTCTCTCACACACACACACACACACACACACACACACACACACACACACACACACCCTTCTCAGTTGCCTTCTTAGTGCCTGAGGTCTTCTAACCTGGAACAGCCATCCACCATGCTGCCCCCTCTTCTTGGACTGGTCAGTTCCCCACAGGACCTCTATTTAGGGGACAGATGCCAGCCAGACAACTTTCGTTCCCTTCCTGGATCTGCTGCTGGCTTTCCAGACTTTGACACCATGTACAGCATGGGTACCATCCTCCCTTTTCAGTTCCTTTTTGTGGGTTGTCTTCCCCATTAGAATGTAAGCCCCTTGAGAATAGGAACTGTCATTTTTCCTTTTAAAATTCAAGCTCCCTTGGGAGAGGGGGGGCTCAGACTTAAAGTACAAAGGTAGGCTCACATTAGAGAGCGCTCTTGGTCATGGAAGTCCTTTCCTCCTTATGTGGAGTCCTCATGAAGTTCCCCAAACAAAACACTTTTCACACAAATAAACAATTTGAAAACAATTGGAAAAATATTAATTGCTCATTGATAGGCGAAGCCAATATAACAAAAATGACAATTCTACCTAAGTTAATCTATCTATTCGATGCCATACCAATCAAATTAACAAAAAATTATTTTAGGAAGCTAGAAAAAATAACAACAAAATTCATCTGGAAGAACAAAAGGCCAATAATGTCAAGAGAATCAATGAAAAAAATGTGAAGGTAGGTAGTCTAGCTGTACTGGATCTCAAATTGTATTATAAAGTGGTATTTATCAAAAAACAATCTGGTACTGGCTAAAAAATAGAATGGTGGATCAGTGGAATAACTTAGGTCCATAATACACTGTGGTAAATGACCATAGTAATCTAGTGTATGATAAACCCATAGATTTAAGTTTTGGGGACAAAAACGCATTATTTGACAAAAACTCCTGGGAAAACTGGAAAATAATATGGCAGAAACTAGGTATAGACCACCATCTTACACTGTATACCAAGATAAGATCAAAATGGGTACATGATTTATACATAAATGGTGATACTATAAGCAAATTAGAAGAACATAGAATAGTTTACCTGTCAGATCTATGGATAAGGGAAGAGATTAATTCCAAACAAGATGTCAAGAGCATTACAAAATGTAAAATAAATAATCTTGACTATATGAAATTTAAGAAAGTTTTGCACAAACAAAACCAATGCAACCAAAATTAGAAGGAAAGCAGAAAATTGGAAGGAAATTTTGCAACAATTATCTCTGATAAAGGCCTCATTTCTCAGATATACAGAGAACTGACTCAAATTTATAAGAATACAAGTCATTCCCCAATTGATAAATGGTCAAAAAATATAAACAGGAAGTTTTCAGACAAAGAAATCAAAGCTAAGGAATAGCTTACCTGTTAGATTTATGGAGAATGGAAGAATTTATGACCAAACAAGAGATAGAGAACATTATGAAATGCAAAATGGATGACTTTGATTACATTAAATTGATAAGTTTATGCACAAACAAAGCCAATGCAACCAAGACTAGGAGGGAAGCAGAAAATTGAGAAAGAATTTTTACAACCAGTGTCTGATAAAGGCCTCATTTCTTTTTCGTGAGGCAATCGGGTTAAGTGACTCTCCCAGGGTCATATGGTAAGGGTCAAGTGTCTGATGCCAGATTTGAACTCAGGTCCTCCCAACTCCAAGGCTGGAGCTTTATCCACTGTGCCACCTACCTGCCCCTAAAGGCTTCATTTCTAAAATATAGAAAGAACTGAGTCAAATTTATAAGAATACAAGTTATTCCCCAATTGATAAACGGCCAAAGGATATGAATAGGCAGTTTTCAGAGGAAGAAATTAAAGCTATCTATAGTAATTTGGAAAAATGCTCTAAATCACTATTGATTAGAGAAATACAAATCAAAATAACTCTGAGGTACCACATCACACCTATCAGATTGGCCAACATGACAAAACAGGAGAATATGTGGGAAAACTGGAATACTAATGCATTGTTGGTGGAGTTGCAAACTGACCCAACCATTTTGGAGAGCAATTTGGAACTATGCTCAAAGGGCTATAAAAGTGTGCATACCCTTTGACCTAGCAATACCACTTTTAGGTCCGTATCCAAAAGAGATCATGCAAATGGGAAAAGGACCCATATGTACAAAAATATTTATAGCAGCTCTTTTTGTGGTAGCAAAGAATTGGAAATTGAGGGGATGTCCATGAATTGGGGGATGGCTGAATAAGTTGTGGTATATGAATGTGATGAAATATTATTGTGTTATAAGAAATAATAAGCAGGATGATTTCAGAAAAACCTGGAAAGACTTATATGAACTGATGCAAAGTGAAGTGAACAGAACCAGGAGAACATTGTACACAGTAACAACAATATTGAATGATGAGGAATTGTGAATAACTTAGCTATTATCACCAATACAATGATCTAAGACAATCGCAAAGGACTCATGATGAAATATGCTATCCACCTCCAGAGACAGAACTGATATCTGACTACAGACAGAAACATTATTTTTCACTTTCTTTCATTCTTTTTTTGTTTGAGTCTTCTGTATAGAATGACTAATACAGAAATATTTTACACAATTGCACATGTATAACCTATATCAGATTGCTTTTCATCTCAGAGATGGGGAGGAAAAGAAGGGAGGGATAGGCTTTGGAACTCAAAACTTGAAAAAAAAATTTTTGCTTTCACAGTAACTGGGGAAAATTTCATATATATGCATACATATGTTTTATATATATATTATATATATATTTTAAAGAGTCACACACTCCAAAGACACTGCCATCCTGAGGTGACTGGCTTTCCACAACTCTCTGCAGGTACATCCTCTCTGGTTAGTCTGTGTACTGGCTAAGAAATAGAATGCTATTTTTTTAACTGCCTCAAATTGGCAGAGGGACTCTTTCAGCCTTTCGAAGTTCAGAAGGTCATAAACCTGGTCAGTATCTTTGGATACTCATTCACCTAAGATCATAGAAGAATAAACCCAAAAGAAACAAAGGCATCATGTGCTCATGAACACATAGCTGCTAGATGAGGAAATGCAGCTTGCCTCACCCATTACTGGAAGGAAAAGAGAAACAAAAGGAGTGGAATGATGGGCAAATCACTGCTTTTGTAAGTGTTTTCCGTTTCAGCTCAGTCATTCATGAGTGCTTATGACACTTCAGCCAACTGAGACTCCATCACCATACGGTACCACTGCCTCAAACACCAAGGCTCCACATGTAGCTGAATTAGAATGGGCTCTCCTCCTCCTTTTTCTTCTCCTTTTCCTCCTCTTCACAAAATTCCTACATGATGCTTTTCTTAAGCATCCCTAACACCTTCCCTACCCCCCAGTCATTAATATTCTCTGACTCTTGAAATTACTTTCATTTGTTTACATTTTGTATTCTTCTAGTGCCTAACTGAGCCTCTTGCACACAGTAGTACTTAAAAGTATACATTGAACTGAACTGATCCTGTGTTCTTGAAGGCTTTGCCAATAGATAAC